AAGAAAATATAAATTGCTACATAACCGTTAACATCGACAGTTTAAATTCGATTTTACATAATATCTGTAATGTTAAATATGTCAACGCCTACAACCAAGCAGAAGCCACAGCTTCATCATCATAACATACATCTTAGACTTAACAGCTGTGGCACGCTCTTAGTTACAGTAGTATGTTAATATTAACAGCTGTTAAAACTGTTTTAAATATTTTAAAGTATTGAAAAGTTTATTTGGACACAAAAATATTGAGTATTTAGAAAGTGGAAATTTCTATATTGCCAATTATAGCGTCACTTTAACAGAGTATATACGACTTTACAGGATATCTGTAATGATAATTTTACAACTAAGCCGAAGCCACCGCTTCATCATCATCGTCGTCATCATAATAATTTCTGTTGAGGGGATTTTTGAACAGTGCTTAGCAAGTTGCCACTTGTGGCAGCTTGTTGTCGTCGTGCTTGAAGCGGGGGCGGTGCGGCTGCTGGCGACAAATGAACTAATTTGATTTACATGCAAATTACATTTGGGCCAACTAAAAAACAACTTTCTCTGGTCGCACAGGACGACGACGACGACGGCGACGACCATCATTAAAAATGCTTACAAAATTAACAAAATTGACAATATCCGTTGGCCAAGCGAAGCCGCTGCGAAAAAAAAAAAAAAAGTAAAAAGTTGGCAAAACGTAGAACGGAAACCGGGCAGACACACGCAATTCTTCCCGTACTCTCTCTTCACGCTCTCGCTCTCTCATTACCCCAAACTCAACCCCCCCTTTCCCACCCCCCCCCCCCTCTCCTCGTCGGTGCCTAAACAATTGCTTTTTGTTGTGGCCCACATCTCGCTGGTTTATTTAGGGTCTGTGCGCGAGAGGAGCTGCTGCCAGCGGCAAACTCTTGGCACGACAACGTGCCGCATATTTAAATTTTAATTAAAATTTAGCTTGTGCGGCACGCGTTGCACCGCCCGCCATCCCCTACCCAACGTCCTTCCCCCGCCCCGCCACTTTGCCATTTTGTGCGCGCCTCGAAATATGCAAATAAAAAATTGCCTTTGTTTTCTGCGGCAACGTGTAGGGCAAAAATCTTGGTCTGATTTTTTGATAGCTCTTCACTTGAACTGCAGGGAGTCGGTGGTAGGCGAGGGGGTGCGGGGGCGTCGCAGTGGCCAAGAAGCAAGCTGCTTTCTTTGGGTTTATCATATTGAGGTTAAGAGCTTTATATACGCGCTTAACTGTATTTATATTAATCCTTCGCGGTCCTGTCTCTAGCTTGACATTACTTTACTTTGCTTTTGCCTCCAGCGAAATGTCCTTGCTGGCCACCTGGGATTTATATAACTAAATGAACATAACCTCCAAGTTGGCCCTGTGCGTAAATGTTTTATTGCTCGTCCTCCATTGTCAGTTTATGGGCGAAAATAAAATATTTTGGGGGCTTTAATTGAGTGAAATACATAGACGCTTCAGTTGTTCATATTAGCAGGTCAAATGCACTTCATGTCCTCAATGGTTACTTTATTTTACGAAGATTTAATAGAGCGTGAGTGTTTATTCATATTCGTCTAACTTATGAAATACATGTAATAAGTGTCCTCCATGGTCACTTAATTGAATATTAATCAATTTTATTCAAATTCGATTTAAAAAGGCTTTAGTTTCTCTCTCATATTCGACTATCTTATGCAATACATATATATTTAATACGTGTCCTCCATGGTCACTTAGTTGGCAACTAATTAACTTTATTCAGTTTGGTACGACAGAATTGAATCTGTACAGAAACAACATTTGTTGTTTGCCCTGATGATACAATTAATCATCCTTCTTTAATTAATCGTAGAACCATGCTTGGTGCAATATTTATTCATAAGTTAATTACGGATGAAATCGACTCTTCTGGATTCACTAGCCAATTAAACTTCTCTATCCCTAGAATTACGTAATTATTCTCCTTTATCGCTTCATTTCTGTTCAACTAACTACGCCTTGCATGAACCGTTCCGGGTCCTCTGTGATGTTTATAACAAGCATTTTAGAGTATTCTGCTCAAAGTACATTCTTCCTCTTATAATGTAATCTTGTCTAAACTATTATCCCAAGTCTTCCACACTTCATTATTTGCCAAAACATAAGCATAAATATATATGTGTATATATAATTTAAGATAATAAAATATAATTTGTATATAATTTGTTGCTTAAATATAAAATTATATATATACATATGTAGCTAAGTATATATCTATCCGCTTCTTCTTCATCACATGTTCATCATGTTCACCTAATTTGTTGCTTACATAAAACAAATTTCTTTAAGGAAGTTGACTTTTAACAGCTTAAATTCCTTCATCCTTTTTCATATATCTGATCCCTTTAAGAACTCGCTCTTCGCAATAATAGCACCACATGTCCTCCATGCTCACTTAATTTTTAGCTTAAATATGAATATAGATATATGTATGTATCTTTATGTCCGCCCGATCATCACATGCTCTTAACTTAATTTGTTGCTTAAATAGAACTCATATCTTCAATGAAATTTACTTTGACATTCTAAATGCCTTCATGCTTTTTCATATATATGAATGCTTTAAACCTTTCTTTATAGCACAACATCCTTTACAGGATTACATGTCCTCCATGGTCACTTAATCTGCAATTAGAACGACTTTAGCTCAAAAGTAATGCAAGTTACTTAAGAATTCTTACCTTTTCACAACACTCAAGCCTCCTTCAAGCTTGTATAATAATCCAATTATATTCTTTAAGTTAATTTGTTTTGCGCTTCGTGTCCTCCATGGTCACTTAACATTGACAGAAACTCTTCTTAGAAATCTTTTACAAATGTTCTTGTTGAAATTGTAAAAAGACGTCAAGTACGGCTCAGCTTTCTATCTAGATTATAAACATATTTCTGCACTTGTATGTATTTGGACAAAAATGTCCCTCTAGTATTTTCAGTGTGGAATTTCTTACAATTTTCATATAAATGCATAAATTTATTGTTAGATTGCTTTCGCTGTGAACCGTTGAGCTGCTGTCAGATTGAGATACTTCAAGTTGCGGATGATTTAAATAGAGAAGATACACTTAGTTATGCATAGTTCTGTATGGGGCCACCCACCCCACTTTGGAGCACCTAAAGAATTTTTCTCTCCCCCCTTCCCCTCCCCCTTCTCGCTCTCTCTGAGCTACGATTTTCCCTTAGCATTTGTGCAAAAATCTGTTTTCGACTGTTTGGAATTTGCAGTTAGGTTTTTCGTGGCTTTTTAGTGAATGGGATGCGTGTTGTTGTGGGTAGTTCGGTCTTGGAATTGTTGCCGTTGCCGTTGCCGTTGCCTCTGTCCGTGCTTGGTTGCAATCCACAAAACCGCCACGAATGGATAGGTAAAAGAGTGCTGCCAGCCAGCCACAATTTGCCGTGTAAATATTAATGCACTCATCGTACAGACGCCCTGGCGATGGGCGCGTGATTTATGTTCGTGTTTGTAACACAGCTTTTTACTTAAATTAAGAAGTTATAAACATACCTAAATATGTACTTGCAAGTACAAGTATTTTTAAATTAGTCGCTATTCCGATGATCCGATGCATTCTATGTTTCGATAGCACAAAATATAGGTCTATCGATATATCGATAACAATTTAGAAAAACTGAAACTAGAGCAAAATATCATTAAAAACGGATTATATAAATGAATAACATTTAAATTTTAACAATCGTTATGTCGTAGAGATAAAGTGACATCTAAAATATACTTATATAGTAAATACTTTTATGTAAAAATATTTTTAAAAATATATGCATACAAAAATTAATTAATATAGGTTTAAAAAAACAAAATCAGGAAGTTGTAGTTTCATCGAAAATATCTGATTCTTTTAACAACATAAAAGAATTATAGCTTACAATTCAATAATATGCTTTGGTACTAGAAGTTTGTGTATCGATATATCGATTAATTACACACGGCGCAGCGGGAAACATCTCTAGCATACTTAAAGCAGAAAATTCTTGGAGTTTAAACAAAAATAAGTACATAATTTTTTCACCTACAAGAAATATAGCTAAATAGTGAATAATACGCAATTGGTACTAAAAGTTGGTGTACGATATACTACACACAAAATATATGCATACAAAAATTTAAATAAAATAAGTTTGACAGGATATAAGCATGGAAATTATTGTAGTTTCAACAAAAATATCAGCTTGTTTTTCCCACGTACAAGAAATATAGCGCAATATTTAAAAATATGATTGGAGTATTTGGTGTATCGATATATCGATGAACTACATATGGCGCAGCATGAGCCACATTTAGTGCATTTAAACAGGAAATTCTTGTAGATTTGACGAAAAAGTGTGCATGTTTTTAAGGCGAACAATAAGTATATAGTCAATGATATGCTATCGGTGCTAGATCGGTGTATCGACATATCGATAAACTTCACGCCGCGCTACGTGACCCATCTCTAGCAAACTGAAATACACTTTGCCCAACTAAGGCGTTTGGCGCCAGCTGTGGGTTGAGTTAAGTTGGATTGGTTGCTATGTAGGATAGCAGCAGCTGTGGGTGGAGATGGGGGGCGTTGGGGGTTGGTGCAGGAAAACGTCTGTGCTCAATTTTTCAAAGCTCGTTTTGTGTCGTTCCTGGGCTCGTTCGCTGGTTCGTTCATTCGGGCGGTTCGTTCGTTGGTGGCTCTGACTATGCAAATAATGAATGCAAAATATTGCTGAAGTGTGTCTGAGGCGAAAAGCAGCAGAGCAAATGGTTGAGGAGGGTTGAGCGGCGGCAGTAAAAATAGGGGCGAGAAATAGTGCTGGAAAATGTTCTTTAGAACTTTTGCACTTTTCTATTAAGTTTTCGGGTTGTGTGTGTGTGCGTGTGTGTGCTTGTTGAGAGCTTTGCGCTTAAACTACTATCGCTAATTAAATTTTCAATTAATTTTGAGCCATTCTAATTTTTTTTTTTTTATTTCGTTTCTTGCAGCTCAACACACAAACCGAAACGGAAACGGAAGTGTGAACGTGCAGAGGAAGTAAAAAGTTGCCAGCAGGAATTGAAAAAAAAAAAGAGAACATAGTTCAACACTACGGGTCGTATGATTAATGGAACCTAAAAGAGAGTTTTAAAACTTAAAAAAAAAGGAAAGGAAAAGTGTGACAAGCAACAAGAAAAGCAATTACAATAATATGTTCAAATACGCCGTATTTAAAGATGTCTGCATTAGGGCCGGACACTGTGCCATCATCTCAGATCCCGGAAAGGTTGCGGGCTGAGCTAATACAAGTGTGAAACTCTCCAGAAATATGTGAGAGAATTTTTCAAGAATTTATGCAAAACTAGAGTGAATGGTAACCTAAATGCTTAAAGAAAATTTCAAGGAACTTTTAAAAAGTGAGTTGCCCATAATTAATTTATGTACACATTATGTACACAGCTTGAATTCATTTTAAATCTTAATTTTGTGAGATTTTATTTTGAGTACGATTTATCTTTTAAATAGAAAGATCGCGTTATCCTTAAATATTTTGTGAGAATAAAGTAAAGTATTTAAAATTATTTATTTTTTCTATTTTCTATTTACTTTTTTTTTTATATATGTTATTCACGCTCCTTAAATATAAAAATAAATAAAAACAAAGCACAATACTAAACCTTATATTTCCCTCCCAACAACAGATGGCGCCACAGTGAAAAAAAAAGTGCATATCAATACTAAAATGTCCCAGCTCGGGCGTCATAAAATGCTTAAGAAAAAGTGTTGAAAGTGTGTAGAGAAAAAAGAGACGAATGATAGTGAATAGAAAAATACCCTAACAAACTTTGACAGTGTATATATAGTGTATTTTTCTTATGAATGCCTAAGGCTGGGCAATAAAAGTTGTACTTACATAAAAGTCAAAGAGTAATGGATAAATCGAGTAGCGTCAGTCCCAGTGAGTGTCGCGTAACCAGATCAAGCATGACGCCAACGCTGCGGCTGCAGCAGAGCCCCAGGCGTCAACAGCAGCAGCAACAACAACAACAACCACATCAGCAGGAACAGCAGCAGGAACAACAGTTAAATGAGGAACAACAACAAATTAAAGCCAAGTCACCGCAGCAGCCGCTGTCAACGTCAACGTTGACGCCAACGCCGGCGCATCATCAGTTCCGTGCGCCCGCACAACAGCAGCAGCCAACCAAGCACAAGAGCAGCAGCAGCGGCAGCAGCAACAACAACAATAATAACAATAACAACGGCAGCGGCAGCAAAGCCTGGAGCAAACGGCAGCACAAGACGAGCGGTAAATACAACGCCAGCGCCTGCGTCGGCGCCAGCGCGCAGCAGCAGCATCATAATCATCATCATCACCATCAGTATCCCCCACATCATCATCCCAATGGCAGCGGCGTCGCTGCTCAAGCAGCTGCCGGCGCCGGCGTCGGTTCGCTGCCAACTGCCGCCGCATCGGCAACTGCGGCCGCAGCTGCCGCCCACAAGGCCGATCTGGAGAACATACAGAATAACAAAAATCAAATAGCTGGTGGACACGCCCACAGCGGCCCCCATCATGGCGGCGGCGGCGTCGGCACACATCACAGCGTAGCCGGTAACGTTGCTGGCATTGGCAGCGCTGCTGGCAGCGGTGGTCATCATCATCACAATCACAACACGCGGCTCGCACAGACGGCGGCTGCGATAGTGGGCAACGGTCTGCCCATGGCCGCAATGGACGCCAAGTTGGGGCACGGGCACGGACTGAAGGGCCAGCAGCAGCAGTACAAGAAGATGCTGACACACAGGTAACGTAACATAAACCACTCTCAGCTAACGTAATTCTATGCCAAATTATGTTATCTATTACGTCTCATAATGTAAGTTGCATTGTGTTAGAAATAGCAGGAAACATTGTGTAACATAACAAAGAACTAAATAATATAATATGACGTTCCGAAAAATGCCATTACGTTATTTAATGTTACGTGCAAAATAACGTATTGAACTCTCTTTGTTGTTATGTCATATTTAACGTTATGCAATGTAACTTTATGTGTCGTCACATAATGTACCGTAAATTACTTGTCCTTAAACATAACGTCAAAATTTACCCTACATAATGTTATATATTATGACGTAATGACATCTCATAACGTAGGTTAGGTAGTGTGAGAAATGTAATGCAATTTTGTGCAACGTAACAATGTTATATTTACTGACGTTCCGATAAATGGCATGACGTTATTTAATGCTACGTGCAGAATAATGTAATTATTTCTCTGTTTTGTTCTGTTAGATTTAACGTTATGTATTGTTACTTAATGTTACGAAACGTAATGCGGCCTCATATAATGTACCATAGGTACTTATACTTGAACATAATAGAACAAAACGTAACGTAATGGAGTGTAATGCTACGCCACGGGACGTTACGCCTCCTAATGTGTTCTTTGTCACGTAACTATAAAATGTCTTAAACGTAAAATGGTGATGTAACATTTGGTAAAATTATAACATTACGTAAGGTACCATGCAGTATTGGAATATAACGTAACGTAATGTAATATGTAATTTAACGTTATGTTATAGCATGATATGTTACGTAACGAACTACGTCAATTATATAATATGTTAATAGGTTATAGACGACTCGTAACCTAATGAAACGTAACCTTGTTAGGCAGCGTGATTAAACGTAACGTGATGTAACGTAACGTAACATAGTATTTTTTAATAATATATAAAAGATCGGATCTTATATTTATTTAAATATTAACACTTATGAAACTTAAAGTAGTTAAAGCATTCCCTAACTACAAATTGTTCCTTGGAAAACGTTTATGTTTTATAATTATTAACAGTTCATAATTATTATATTAATATTAATATTTAAACTAACTCTATCTATCTCTTTCTTACTAACAGAGGTCATCATCATCACGTGCTGTGCGCCGGCAACAATGCGAATCACACGTGCTGCCTTGTCACTGGCTGCAATGGAAGCGTCGGCGCCGCCGGCAAGGATACGCAAAGCAATAAGGACACCAGCTCGTTGAGCGGCAACAGCAGCATCATTTCGGGCAGCGCTGCAGCTGCGGCGGCGGCTGCCAACGCCGTGCACTATTGCTGCGGGCGTTCCAAGTTCTTTTTGTCCGAGAAACGTTTGCGCAAGGAGGTGATTGTGCCGCCAACGAAATTTCTGCTCGGCGGCAACATCTCGGATCCGCTCAATCTCAATTCGCTGCAGCACGAGAACACGTCGAATGCGTCGTCGAGCAATAATACGCCAGCGACGACGCCGCGTCAGTCGCCGATTACGACGCCGCCGAAAGTGGAGGTGATTATACCGCCGAACATACATGATCCGCTGCACTTGCTCGATCCGGTCGATTCGATGGAATATGAGAAGCAGCTGACGTCACCCATGAAGCGGGGCGGCATGCTGACGCGTGGCAGCCACTTGAAGCTGCAGCAGCAGCAGCAGCCGCATCATCGGCAGCACAGGGCGCGCAAAAATCGCAAACGGCGACGTTTCGATTCCAACAACACTTCGTATGCAAGCGACGACGTTGCAGTCGCTGAGGGCGTCGCGGAGGCGTCAACGCTTTCGATTTCACTGGAAGATGCGCCAGGCGCAGCAGCATCAGCTGCAGACGCTACTGCTGTAGCCGGAGCCGCCGTCGGCGCAGCAACAACAACAACAGCAGCAGCAGCGGCGGTGGCAGCAAGTGAAGCTGCACTGATAACAACAACAGCGGCGACGTCGCCAGTAGCTGCACTGAGCGCCACAACGCTGCTGAGCGAGGCGGCAGCGTCGGCTTCAGTTGAAACAACGGAATTGGCACAACAGCAGGCGCATGTGCGCTCTCGCTCTCCGCAGGCAGCGGCCACCGCCGTAGAGGAGACAACAACGCCAGCGCTAGCAGCCGGCGCACAAACGCTCTCCCCTCTGGAACAAATGGAATGCAACGTGGTGCGGCCGGCAGCGACGTTAACGTCATCACCACTACAGTCACACCAGCAGCAGCAGCAGCAACATGTGGCCGTAATTGCCGAGCCGCTCAGCAGCGACAACACCAACACGCCAACAGCGCCTGGCGACGGCAGCAGCAGCAGCAGCTCAGTCGATTTGAGCCTGAGCGCGGTAACAGCCGCTTCGACGTCGGCAGCGGCGCTAGCTGTGGCGTCCACGCTGGCCGATCGTCGTGCGCTGGCCAGTCGTGATTTGCGCTTGGATTTGGACAGCACGTGCTACGGTGTAGGCGGCACGGGTCTGAGCTTTGGCGCTGGCAGCGCAGCCAGCTTTTGCAGCGGCAGCAGGAAACGTAAAATTAGCGAGAGCAACAATTCGCAAAAGAGCAAGGTGGGTACGAAATGGAATTGAAACAAATTGAAACGGGCTATCGAGCAAGTGCGTGCATACATATGTGTATGTGTGTGTGTGTTTCTGTGGGCTTGTGCTTAAAATGTTGTTGTGGGGAAGCAAGTCGCAAGTCAATCGCTTGCTTTGTTTTGATTGCTTTTGGCTGTTTTTATTTGAGAGTTTTGTTGTTGTTTTGTTGCTTGTTCAAGCGTTGCTTAGATTGGGGTTAAGGGGTCAGGGCGGCAATGAAAGAACTTTCTGTTGTCTAAGGGAAGCCAAAAGCGATTAAAAATTCAGCGAAGCAGTTTTTAAGGTGTGTGTGTGTGTGTTTTTTTTTTGTTGCCAATCATTTTAATAGTTGTTTGTGTTTTAATGTTATATATCGGACGAGGTAGATAGGTATATATTAAAAATGTTCAGTAAAAATATTTAAATTTTCTAGATAGGATTTGGTGAGGGAGAGGAACTAAAAGTAAAAACTTGTTTATTATTTGGTTTACATGTTGATCTAATATGCAATAATTTAATTAGACTGGAATATTTGGATGCTAGATGCTATTAATAGTAAGAAAATTAACCCTTAGAGAAAGACTTAAAATCTTGCTTTTGGAAAATATATTTTTTTAAGATGTCAAATAAATAATAGTATATTAAGTAATTGTACATTTTATTTATGGAAATATAAGGCATCCAGAATCTATAATTCTTTAAAATCCTTAAACAAAGTGTTTCTAATAGCGGAGGACCACTGTAGGTACTAGAGGGTTTATATTAAGTATTCAAGTGAAAGCGTAAATAATTGATGCTTGGGCTTAAAAGAAGCTCGACCCGGATTCCATTTATCTTTCAACATATTTGCTCATACTAAATGAAGTCCAAATCGCCCTTAGAAATTCCATCGTCACGATGCCATGGACAAAATTGTTAGCCCGGTGGTGCCACAGCCGGGCGCCTGGAAGCGACCGCCGCGTCTGCTGCAGCCAAGTGGGGCACGCAAGCCAAACACGCGACGTTCAACATCATTTAGCGAAACGGAGCAGCTGAGTCCCGTCGAGGAGCTGCCACCCAAGCCGCTTATTGAGGGTAAGTCTACAAATGCAACAACTCCAAAGCGGACGTCCCTAACAACTCAATCCTCTCCACCTTACAGTGGTGGACATACCGCGCGATGATACGCCAGATCTGTCGGAGCATGGCCTGGGCAGTCCGCTGAGCACCATTTCCGCGGCCACTTCGCACACGGCCGGCGAACCGGATGCACTTGCCGCGGATGAGCCGGCAGCAGCAGCAACAACTGCAGCAGCAGCAGCAGCGGCACAGCCAGTCGTGGGTCTGATGCTGGAGCCGGCTTTAATTCCGCCACTGCACAAGGTGCCGAAGTTTCGGGCCGATGGCCTCAAGTATCGCTATGGCAATTTCGATCGTTATGTGGACTTTCGGCAGCTCAACGAATTTCGGGATGTGCGTCTGCAGGTGTTCGAGCGGCACGTGGAGCTCTTCCAGAACAAGGACATACTCGATATTGGCTGCAATGTGGGTCACATGACCATCACCGTGGCGCGCCACTTGGCGCCCAAAAGCATTCTGGGCATTGACATTGATCGCGAGCTAATTGCCCGAGCGCGACGAAATCTCTCCATATTCGTGCGCATACCCAAGGAGGAGCTTCCGGCGCTGGAGATTAAACAGGAAGCGGGCGTGCAAACGCAGGCACAGTCAGCGCCCGATAAACTGGAGCCGAGCGATGCCAATGCGCACAAGAAGACGCGACGTGGCAAGAAGCGACGCAAGGCGCAACAGCAACAGCTGCAGCAGCAGCAGCTGGCACTGCAACAGCTGCATGCACATGCCCATCATCCCCATCATCCCCATCATCTACATCATCCACATCATCATCATCACCATAATCACCATCATCACCATCACCATCATCATCATCATCAGCATAATCATTTGGATTTGCAGCAGCAACAGAAACTGGATGCACTGCTGGTCAAACCGCACGAATTCTTTCCCATCTCTTTTCCGCTCACCTATGGCGGTATACCCCACCTGCCGCCCACGGGCAAATCGCCGGCAACGTTGGCAACGTTGGCTGCCGGCTGTAAAAATCAATTTCCGCAAAATGTATTCTTTCGCCAAACGAACTATGTGCTTAAGGATGAGTCCCTCATGTCCAATGACACACAGCAATACGATCTCATATTGTGTCTATCGGTCACCAAGTGGATGCATCTCAATTTCGGTGACGCCGGCCTCAAGTTGGCCTTTAAGCGCATCTTCAATCAGCTGCGGCCCGGCGGCAAGCTCATACTCGAGGCGCAGAACTGGGCTAGCTACAAGAAGAAGAAGAACCTGACGGTATGTTTTTAGTTAATAGAATACTTCCTTTTTTTTTTCAAACTAATTTTAAATATCGCTTACAGCCGGAAATCTACAATAATTATAAACAAATCGAATTCTTTCCCAACAAATTTCACGAGTATCTGCTCAGCTCAGAGGTCGGATTCAGTCACAGCTATACACTGGGCGTGCCACGTCATATGAACAAGGGATTCTGTCGACCCATACAGGTGAGCAAATACGTGAAACAATCTATTTAGAAAGTTGTAAAATAATTGTAGGGAATATTTTTATAGTATGTGTGCGCTTTATATGTTTAAAGGTATTCAGGAGCGTATGATTGCGAGCCAAGCATTGCTATCAAAGTGAAGTTAATTATGTTATTATTAGACCAAGCAATCGATAGGGATTAGGGCTATTTTGTCCTCAAATGTGTCTGTTAGCAAGAGCACTCTTTTTGAATCTTACGAGTCTCTCGTGTAACTTTCTTCAGTTGTAAGATTGTGTCCAAAGTCTTAATATAATTGTTTAATGCACGCAATAGACAACTGCCATTAAGCTTTAAAAAAAATATAAAATACAGTGAACTCTCTGAAGTGGTTTTGCAAGAAATGACAATCTGTATTTGACAGCAGCTTGCTGCTTTAATTTATCTATTTGTTCTACATTCCTTTTCCGTTCTTTTCAAATAGCTTCTAAATATCGCCTCTCTTTGCGATTTTCATAGCCACAAGTGATGCTTGGGTATGTTTGTTCTACAAGATTCTCACCCTCACTCTCTTTTTCAAATAGTTTTTAAATTATCGCCTCTCTATGCGATTTTCATAGCCACACGTGATGTTAAGGCATGTCTGTTCTACAAGATTCTCACCCTCGCCTCTCTGTGCAATTTCCACTTACTTGATTTTCCATTTTCTTCATTTGCAGTTGTACGCCAAAGGCGACTATACGCCGAATCATGTGCGCTGGAGCGATGCGTATTATCCGCAGACACCATACGAGGCATATCGCGGCATCTATGCCACTTTGCCCGCCCATCGAACGGGCGGCGGCAGCAGCAGCGCGGGCGGCAGCCACGGCGGCCACGCCCAGCTGCATCTATTGAGCAGCTCGACCCGTTCACAGAACTACGATACGCCGCATTATGCGGGCAGCGCCTCCGGCTCGGCCAGCTGCCGCCAGACCCCAATGTATCAGCATACGTACAATCCGCTGGAGACGGACTCCTACCAGCCCAGCTACGACATGGAGTATCTTAATCATATGTACGTGTTCGCCTCGCCGCTGTATCAGACCGTTTGGTCGCCGCCGGCATCGCTGCGGAAGAGCTCCTCGCATACGCCCGTCTTTGGAAGCGTGCGGGATGCCGAACTGGATGGCGACGGGAGCATTGGTGGCGGCGGCAGCGGCGGCGGCAGCTATCATCGGCACGTGTATCCGCCGAATGATGACACCTGTTCACCGAATGCGAATGCATGCAACGCCTTCAATTCCATACGCGATGCGGATACGGATGACTCGAATCAGTTGCCCGGCGGCAGCAGGCGGCATGTGTATGCCACAAATTGTGGCGAGAGCAGCTCATCGCCGCAGGTGAATCATCACGAGGCAAGCGCCGAGTTTGTCGACGCACTCATGGACGATGAGCAGAAGACGTCGGCTGCTGGCAGCGGCGCCGCTTACTGTGATCTCTCGGATGCCTAGAGTGGACGGACGGAAGGACGGCGAAATTGAAACTAATTGTGTCAAAATGCGAAAATTCAAGCAAATTATATTAACAACATTTATAAACTAAAACGGAAAATATTCAAAAAGAGAAACAAAATACAAGTTAACGATATATGTTGCGCTAGTTCATTTGATTTTAAATATATGTATATGGCATACATTTTATTTATATATATATTTAATATCTATGTATGTATGTTATATATATATTTTTTAAATATATATATGTAACATTTATATGTGTATGTACATATCTGCCAAATCCAATCAACAATTGCAACGCGCATCAGATTTAGATCAATGTAAACGCAAACGAGACGCTTATGATTTTCTGTAATATGAACTTGCATATAAATACATATATATAAATATATATATATTTTTTATATATTGTAATTTAATGGAAGTGCATAAAATACAAATATATATATATATATTATATATGGACATTTACCATAGCCTTCGTATAGTAATTATATTAACTAAAATTGTAATTTGCTTTCCAATGCAATTTTCTATTATTTTCAAATATATATATATATATATACTTTTAATAATTCTCTTGTTAGCAGTTCAAATCTAAATTTAAGGTTTTAATGTAAATTCGTTAAGCAATATACACAAACACATACACTATATGCAGTAGCTTTATAAGCAAATTAATTGTGCTATATATATATAGATAATACGTATATATATATGTGAAAATTAACTGGAGAAACAAACGTATAAAATGCAACTATTTTTGATTAACGTATTTGGAAAACGCTGCAAGGGATCGATGTAAAAATAAATATAAAAAATTAAAAAACAAAAGATTAAAATCAATAAAAAAAAAAAACCCATTCAAAATTCAAAAATGTCAAAAAAGCATACAAAATACAATTTACTACATTTATAAATAATTATATATGCTTAAACAGTTTATAATAATAAAACAACAAATAATACTTTATGTATGTAGTTAATAGTCTAGAGCATTAATACATTATTTTTTCTGAGAAAATGAAACAATTTATAAAGCTATAACAAAAGGAAAAGAAGAAATAAAAAAAAACTATAAAATAAACATCATATAATATGAAGCAAAAAAAAATCCATTATATTTGTTTCGTTTATCTGGGAACTGAAAATAGGACCCTGTATTGAAAAAGGCAACTGGAAATAACACCCTGTAATGAACGCAGATTTATTTTATTTTAAATGCTTATCATTGCAATTTTTCACTTGTGACACTTATCGCGATGTTTATTGTAATTTCTGATAATGGAAGTGATTTTTAATTGAGATATACCCTAGGTATACGTATGTACATAGAGGTAAGTAAGAGCCCATCCATGTCAAGTGATCATACCAATTTTCTGTTTAACTCATCAATAGTCATACTTGGCCAGTCTATATGATAACTGCCTAGTCCCAAAGGATCTTAACTAAAGAAAAACACATTTAAAATCGAGGAAAAAACGTATTTACAGATAAAAGAGGTCAAAATATTTTAAGAAAATTAATGTAAAGATTTTCGAAGAGATATCAAATATTTAATAGGCTGACTCGAAGTCAAGTGTTTAATTTATTAATTACTTCAAGTCAGCCTATTAAATATTTGATATATTTATAACAAAAATGTTCTATCCAGAAAATGTCTCATTCTGATATCACATTTTTCTTAATTAAAAAAGCTATTTTATTCGACGGAGCTGGCTTTTATGCTACACAAAATGGGCAGCACTGGCAACAAATTTGCTGGTTCTGTTAAGATCAAGCGATATTTAATAGAATATATTTACCATATTCAAAAATTATTTGCAATGAAAATGATGAAGATATAACGTCGATATTTGGGAAATTTATTTTTATTACGTTATTCTTGGGCAATCAATTAATTTTAAATTATTATGTGAGTGACAGTATTTTTTTTAATAGTGAATCATATTAATACTATTAAAATCGTCATATTAATACTAAATGAATTATATTAATATTATTTACTATTTGATACTATTTACTATTTAATACTATTTATATTTTCAACAATTATTAATTTCCCTTTCAAAACAAAACTGCCAAAACTCAATAAACTTCAAGCGCGTTACACGCTATTTCGCACCACGGTGCCAGCACTCAGCTGTTTGATCGCCATTTGCTTGCGCTCTCTCACGCTATTTCTTGCCGCTCACTTCCAGTCGAAAAGCTCGTGCGGTGGCGTCGAGCAAAAACAACGTTGTGAGAGATAAGAAAAGTCAAAGCTTGAATTAAACTGCACACTAAGTAAATGCTTGATTTAAAAAGTGTGGCACATAATTAATGCAATCAAGAAAAGTGAAATGTAGGCAGAGGTTGTAATGCTCTTGCTTAAATTGATTTCGCCCTCTCTATCTCTCCATCTCTCTCTCTGTCACTCTTGTCTTTGGCATACGCAACATGCGCGCCGTTTGCTGTTGCTGCTGCCCTTCCAGCGGCGAGCAATTCCAGTTCTGCCAGCTCCAGACAGCACGTTTTTGTTATTTTGTTTGTCAGTTACAAATTTGACGGCAACGGTTGTGGCGGCCGCGGCGACTGCGCTCTACAAAGCAACAAGTTTTCAAGTGTTGTCTCCAACAATAGCGCGTGCGCCTCTGTGTGTGTGTGTGTTTGTGCGATTGTGTGTACGTGTGTGTCTATGTGTGTGCTTTGCTTGTGTTAGTTTTGGCATCATAACAATTTGGCAATCAAAAATGTATTTTCACGCGTTTTCGTGCTGATTTGGCGCCTTCGGCGTTGCGCCCCAATTGATTTGCACTTGCCAGCAATTTTGAAGGAATATATCCAATTAAAGAGCCACACTCCCAAATCTTAAACACACACATATGTATGTATGTAAGTACATAATTTACATATGTATGTGTGTTAGTTTGTGCTAATAATAAAAGCGATTTGTGTGAATCATAAAAATATAAAAGCCGCGCCTTCAAGAATCGAAGAAAAAAAACCGAAACCCAGCAAAAGACAGCAACCAGTTCGAAGGCCATTCCAATAACTTCTTTTATTTTGTGGATATTGCCGTTTCTTCTTCTTCTTCGTCTTCGTCTTGTCACAACTTTACGTAAGTGGAATGCATATGCTTTTACAGTTCTTTTGTGTGCTTCTTACTTTATGTATTTCTCTTAAATCATAAATTACTCTTAAATATTATGCCCAAATTTGTGACCTACTTTTGAAAGCCGCTTGATTTAGTTTAAAAGCAGCAGCTTGCGCCGGTTTGCTGACTGATTGACTGACTGAGCAACTGGGTGATTGACTGAATGATTGATTGTATAACTGATTCACTGTCTAATAGACTTACCAACTGATTGGCCGAATGTCGGATTGACCGACTGAATGATTGACTGACTCATTGATGTACTGATTGACTGTCTGATTCTATGATTGATGGACTGACTGACTGTTGTTGGTTGATTGACTTACTAATTGAACTATTGACTGATTGACCGGCGGATTCACTCTTTCATAGCCAGCTAAATTTTCCACAGTAGTTTTATTTTCGCCTTCTCAACCAATCCGGTTTAAGCTCATGTTAAAATATCTTTAATGAAAAATTGAATGCTTGTTTCGCACTTTTCGGGAATCCGCTCTCTAGCGTGGAAAGCTGATGTGTATGAAACTTTTATTTTCCGCAGAACAACTCAAGCTTATTTTCAAAGCTTTTTTTTAATAGTAAATAAAGGCAAAAATGGAGTTTAACTTGTTCTATAAACTATTAAGATTCTCTTAATAGGTGAATTAAGGATCAAAGGGCTACATTAGCTATGTGAGTCCGTTTGTTTTCTGTCTGTTTTTCTGCAATAACATAGCATTTAATTCCTTTGTTTTGAGTGCCTTTAACGACACTATTTATCCGCCCGATCGAGGTCACATATATATATATATTTAGATATATATACATATATATATACATTCAGCTGACTGACTCCTCAATTTTTTTTACATACTTAAAAGGAAAACCCAATTCACGAGGGGCAATAACTGTTCTTATCGTAAATCAGCATTTTTATAGAATTGTTTTGTAATACACTATAAAGTCTATTTATAATGCTCGGCAGAAAGAGAGCTCCCATAATGGATTCAATGTAATAATTTCCTATAAATAAATATATTTATACATTCATATACTACATATATTTATATTAATATATACATATGTATTTATATAAGCTTGAGCACATTGCAGGTTTATATATATATATAGCATTTTTTCTATTAAAACTAATAGCTTTTATGCTTGTCTCAAAGCCTCATGTTTTCTTATGTTTAGTTATATTTATATCAAGTTAATATAAATTTTAATTTAAGACAAACTGAAAATAAAGAAATATGTATATTTTTTAAATATTTATCATATATAATAATTTCGACCGTTTCCCTTTGAGACCAAAATACCGATTATTATTTCTCCGAGTAAGTTACATTTTAGTATTCGTAAAGGGTATCTCCTCGCCGTTCAATGCTAGTTACAGAGAATATTTTATGAATCAGCAGAGTTGCAAAACTGTGAATGGATTTGTCAACAGATCACAATAGATTACAAAAGACAGTACGCCGAGGTTTCATATTGTTGTCCAAATCAACGCTGATTGAACATGCAAATAAAATAACTGTGCACAATCGGGAATTACAGCTATAACAATAGAACACTCAATATGTTATTATCTTATCTGAACTTCGACTGGTAAATATATGTGTTTGTCCAGCAACAACATATTTAAAAGCTTTTCGAAATCGAAAATACCCTGTGTGAACTTTCGGACTGCAAAAGTCTATACATATAGTGAGATTTCTATATGTACATATATGTATATACACATTTACTACCGAAGCAATTGATTTTTAGAGTGTGATTTCTGAGATAATGACGTGGTTCGCAGAGAGGCAATTAAAAACTATTTAAAAACTATTTAGGAGTGAATATTCGTATTAAACATATTTTTTATTATTAAATTATTTATTTTTTTGTAAGCCATTTTAATTGATAAGCTACGTATATACATTTATATTAATAATAAGTTTACTTTAAATAAAAATGTTTGTATTGAGAAATTCATTTGATTAGTATATTATGATTCTATATAAAAATATATAAAATAAATTAATATGTAAAATTAACTCTTAATTAGGTTCACATATATATTGTTAAATTGTTTTTGTTTCTATAAATAATAATAAATATTTCTAAGCTACGTGTCGTATTTTCCACTGCAATTTTAACTCTCGACTTGTTATTCTTCTAAAATGTTTGTTTATTAATTTTAAGACATATTGTTAAATTGTAATTTTTAAACGAATAAATAGTTCTGTCTTATTTTAATTGTAATTTTAACTCTAGATTAGGCTCAATTATATATTATACATTTTTTGTAAATTTTCATTGTTATAAAATTTTTATTTATTTTGATCATATATATTATTATTTCTTGTTGTATAATTCTAATCATTAATTGGGTCAGCTAAATGTTAATCTTAATCTGAATCATTTGGCGCGCTTTTTGTAATGGGCGACATTTGGCGTGACGAAATGTTCATTTATTTGTGCTATTTTTGTAATCTTATCACAAATGTAATTATAATTTGCCCTTTTTTTCGCACCTAATTTGTGATAGCAAATTGTTATTTTGCGTGTAGAATTAAATGTGAATAACGAGTGGTGATTACAACAAAAAAAGTCAGATTAGATACGATTAGATAAGGAGCTTGTCTTATCAATATGTTGCCCAATCAGAGTTGCGCGGGCAAGTGACTGAAAATGAATCATGCGCGGCGTTTAAATATATGTACATACATACATGCGGCAATCCAATCCAATCAAAATTCCCCTTTAAATTTCCCC